GACTAACTTGCATGTGCATGGGGGGGGGGTCATTGTTGACGTTAACAAACTGAAATCTATCTGATAAATATGATTGAAACCAGTCTGATGTTCCTCTGATCCCTTCATGTTGTTCTAGTCTCTGTGATCTTATGATCTATGGTGTCAAACGCTGCACTAAGATCCAACAGGACGAGGACAGAGACAAGTCCATCATCTGAGGCCATGAAAAGGTCATGAGTGACTTTTAACAGCTGTCTCTGTGCTGTCAATGATCTGTTGTGAAGGAGTCTGAGCAGAAAACCTGCTGCTGAGTTGTTCAGCTGTGAAACAAACTCTGGAGAAGCTCTGGACCAACTCTTCTGTTTTTGATGTTGAACTTTGACGACGAGACATTTGATGCTTTTCTTCGTTTGTTGGTTAAATTCTGACACTTTGATTTGTACAGTGTCATAAATGAAAGTGTCTTCTGCGTAACCTGACAATAATTAGAATGTGACAGATCTATTTTATTCTTTTGATGTAACATCACAGTGAATATGTTATTGTACTTTTTAACTTCTGGTACAAAACAAAACATTCAAATAATTACTAAATACTAAAATAAAGATTTTGGTCCAAGTCTCAGTCTAATATAATAATTGTTGCAGCAGTGATCTATGATTTCATAGTTTTGTATGAATTGAGGATGAAAGTGTGTAAATGTGAAATAAAAGAGGCCCCAGCGTTGTGCCCTGTGGAACTCCAGCGATCACTGACATTTTCTTCTGACGTCTGTGGTCATTTGAAAATCGGAGTTTGTTTTGTTCAGGGTTACTACTTCAACGCTAACAACCCGTACAGAGAGTGGCCCAACGCCTTTGCCGAGGGTCAGGAGAAAGCTCGGGACGGAGACCTGAATGCCGCTGTCCTGCTGCTGGAGTCCGCCATTTTACAGGACCCGCTGGACTCTGAGGTGAATTCTTTTCATAAATCTGTCGTTCAGTATTCAACGATTGATCAGTGGAAGATGAATCAATGACAGTGAGTTTGTGGTGTCTGACTCAGAAGGAGAAAAAAACTTCTGAGGATTGATATTCTTGATTTTATGTATAAACTATTGTTGCCAAATTTTGTATGAAACACTTTTTCTTTTCAATTTATTTCTAATTGCTAAATGACGACAAACAAAACATTTCATATTAACTCGTACGTCTGTGCTTGGTCAGTGTTGGTCAATAAATCAGACCAGATAATATATCGGTTAGTTTGGGTGGAAATGTTTTGAACATTTCAAAATAAGGTGCATGAATGGAACCTGCTGTGTGTTGGTGGAACAGGCGGCGGAGACGAGTCCTTGACCAACTCTTCTTTGTGTGTTTTCAGGCGTGGCAGCTTCTGGGAACGACTCAGGCTGAGAACGAGAACGAACAGGCCGCCATCGTGTCCCTGCAGAGGTGAGAGGTGCTATTATACTGTTTTTATTATTAATGTCAGACATATTCAGATGAATGAGTTCACCTGTCTCACCTGCTGCAGGTGTCTGGAGCTCCACCCAAACAACCTCCTGGCTCTCATGGCGCTTGCCGTCAGCTTCACCAACAGCAGCATGCAGCGAGAGGCGTGTGACGCCCTGCGCCGCTGGATCAGTAACAACCCACGATACAAACACCTGGTCCTGGAGCACAGGAGCCCGCTACAGGGTTCACCGGCCACGCCACGCAGGGGCCCCCACACCTTCACACCGGCCAGGTATGAACACCTGACAGGAAGCTGCAGGTTCATGTTATCGTCTCAACACTACATTACCCACGAGCCTCTCTGGTTGTTACCATGGAGATGATTCCATCCAGTTCTGTGACACTTATCCAGTGAGTCATTAAAGGAGCAGTACAACATTTCATATAACCGTGTGTGTGTGTGTGTGTGTGTGTGTGTGTGTGTGTAGGTTTGAGCTGCAGAGTGTGTTGCTCCTCTTCCAGGATGCGGTTCTGTTAAATCTGGACTCTGTGGATCCAGATCTTCAGACTGGACTCGGTGTTCTCTTTAATCTCAGCTCCGACTTTAACAAAGCAGTGGAGGCTTTTACTGCAGCGCTGTCCGTCAGACCACAGGTACACACATTCAGTACACACACACAAACACGCACATTCGTCACCTGGCTGACCTCTGATAACATCATGGTGATGACCTCGGTCTGGTGTCTCTTCAGGACTACCTGCTGTGGAACCGTCTCGGGGCGACGCTGGCGAACGGGAACCGCAGCGAGGAGGCGGTGGAGGCGTACACCCGCGCTCTGGAGCTGCAGCCGGGATTCATCCGCTCTAGATACAACCTGGGAATCACATGCATCAACCTGGGAGCTCACAGGTGACACATCTCCTTCTACACACTCATTATACAGCACACACACACACACACACACACACACACACATTTATATTAGTACAAATGTTGTTTGTACAGCTCATATTCACAAATCACAGTTTGTCTCATAGGGTTAACGAGCTGTGACCTCATCTGTTCTTAACTCAACAAGAGTAAAACTACTAAAAAACCTTTCAACAGGGAAAAGAACGTAGAGACCTCAGAGACACGTGAGGACCCGTCTCCCAGGACGGACACAGGTGCAGTAGACGCCACGTGTAACTGAGAACGTCAGACACAGAAGAGTAGCTCCAGCACTGGTTAGAGGAAACAGTTAGAAGCTTGATGGAAGGTGAATGAAGAGAGGAGTTACTGTCAGGAAGTCTCTGAGGAGACATGTTGTTGATCAGTCTGTGATCATCGTCCACCATGTGGATCTGTGGACGATGAAGCAGCAGGACTCTGGTGGAGAAGTGACGACAGTAACATGTTGATGAGACATTAATGTGATGAAGATGGAGAAGAGGAAAGAGAAGCTCCATGTGTCCTGTGTGCTCCACATTCTAGACCTCCAGCAGCAGAACTGGAGCAGGTCCAAGACAAACCTGGACCAGCTCTAACTAAACTTTTGTCATGGAGGAAGTTTGAATCTTAAACGTAGAGAGGGAGTCTGTCTCCAGAACTGAACCTGAGATGATTCCACAGGAGAGGAGCTTGATGCTCAACGCTCTGACTCCTCCTCTCTGGCTCCTCCTCTCTGGCTCCTCCTCTACTTTTAGACTTGAGGGACAACAGACTGAATTCTGGGAGCTCAGGGCTCTAGTGGTGATATGGTACGATGAGCTCCTTAAGGTTTGATGCTGCCGTATGTAGGTGAGGAGGAGAACTTTAAATTAAATTCTTGATTTTACATAAGTACACTGCTCAGTAAAGTGAGGGAGCCTTAATGTTCACATATATATATATATACACATAAAAATATATATATACATACATAAAAAATAATTTAAATGTGTGACTTTGAATAAATGAACAAGGTTTTAAAAAAGTTTGATTACATGAAAATAAACTGATCTGGTTGTGGTCCCGGTCCTACAGGGAGGCGGTTAGTAACTTCCTGACAGCTCTGAACCAGCAGAGGCGGAGTCAGCGCTGCAGCCACCAGCAGATGTCGGCCAACATCTGGGCGGCGCTGCGTATCGCCATCTCCATGATGGACCAACCAGAGCTGTTCCAGGCTGCCAACGTCGGGGACCTGGACCTTCTGATGAGGGCCTTTGACGTGGGCGACGTCTGACGGAGGTGCTAGAACAGATTGGTTCCAAACCAAAGAGACAACAGCTGCAGCTCCTTTAAATTAAAAGAGCACAACCTTTTAGCTTCCTGTTTATAAGAGTGTTTTAAAGGCATCGTTCTCTGTAAAGTCCCTCATTCTTCATTACGATGGAGGGTGGGTGAGGTGTTTGATTCCATAAAAGTTTGAGCTTCAGGGGTAAACGCTGTTTTAGCCTCCACGACCTTCAGACGTAATAAAACAAGAGAAAAAACATTACAAGCCTCCATACTGCTTGTGTGGTGTCATCCAGGTGTCCACAAGCCCCGACATTCAAATTCAACTAAAAACCACGTCATTTATACGTATTTACGAGTTCTATTTACTCAACCAGCAATGGCGATGCCAGAGGATGTAGCCTCAGGATGGTGTTTCTGTGAGGACATGAAGACTCGTAGGACGCTATCAGAGACTTTTAGGCTTAAAACTTGGTGTAAATGACGTCGTTTCCTGTTGAATCTGAATGTCGGGGCTTGCAGACACTTGATGACGTCACAGGAGCAGGATGGAGGCGTGTTGTGTTACTTTCCCTCCATAGATGCTGAATGCACTCATTGTAATTTAAGTCGCTTTGGATAAAAGTGTCAGCTAAATGTAATCATAGTGGTGAGGAGATAATGAGGGAATTTTCATTTTTGGGTGAACTATCCCTTAAAGCCATTGAACTGTAAAACTTTACTGCAGTTGTAGCCACGCCCAGTAGTGATGTCACAGTGTACCTACATACCCGGAGTACACGCCTACATCACTGTGATGAGTCAGATCAGGTCAGAGGTCGTTTTTTTTTATGAGATTTTATTTTGAAACTGGAGTTTGTGTGTGTCGAGCATGTGTCGATCTGCAGGAGGTGTTGATAAAGCTGAATTTTTTTGTTACAATGAGCTCAGTGATTTAATTTAATTAAGAGTTTAGATTTCTACACCACATTATAGAGCAATGTGTTGTTGTATTTCTTCAACATTTATTTATTTATTTTTTGGCCTGAGACATTCAAAGTTGTACGATCAAATAAGTACCCATTAAATGCCTGGAGTCAGCTGCTTTTTTCAGTCTATTGAAAACTATTTAAACTATAGTTTATTGTTTCAAAAGTTACATTTGCAACATTTAGTTAACACACATGCACACATACTTTCTCAAATGTAATTAAATGAAAGCAACAGTCATCAGCTGGGAATAAGAAGCCTGCTGTTGTTTGTGAAATCAAGGACCCATTGTCTCAGAAATGTCCTATTTTGAGAGTTAAAGTGGCCTCTGTTATTATAAACTGCATATATACAATGCTAGAAATGAGAACTTTACATGCATGGTGGGTTTAACTGAGGGAGGCCGCACTTAGCAAAGGGTCAATTCATGCAAACACCTGTGATTAGTACTTTAAAAAATCCGGCACATGTGTTTTTCTTCCTTTTCTTATTCAGCTGCTTGAATTTAAAGTGACCTACTTCTTCCAAATGCCTACAATTATCTTCATCAACACAAGGATTGAAGTATGTCCAGGATCTGTCGTCCAGATCACAGAGAAATCTGCGCAATTCCTGTTTAAATGTTTCAGTCTCAGGCTTGTGTGTGAGGGAAACGGTGAAATTGTTGCTTTATCTGCTGGCACACCAAGTTCAGAAGGACACACTGTTAGTGTTGTGGCAGCCTGTGGGTGATGGGGTGAGTTTTCACACAACTCTCCAAAGGAGGTTTTTGTCTCCGCCAGGCCAAAATTACCAGCATGAAATCAGTGCCTGCTGAAGACTGTGCTGGGAGAAAAGCACGAGAGAAAAGAGTCCTCCTTAAAGACAGAAAGGAGAGGGGAAAATACAGCAGGGTTTTTAGTGAGGTTTACAGCCCATTCGTATGTCCCCTGACTGGTGGGAACGCTCTATTGGAAAGATGGCTGCCTCCACCAACGAGGTTATGTTTTCATCTGCGTTTGTTTGTGTAGGGCAGTTTCTATGTTTTCCTGGATTTCTCAAAGAATAATTCATCATCTTGATGGAAAAATCAGGCATGTTTAAGGGGCTGATAATTATGAGGCATGGTGGTTTTATTTATAGAGCACATTTCCTACACAGAAGTAGATTCAAGGTACTGTACAGGGACATTAAAAACAACACAGATGAAATTAAAAAATCTATTTGAAAGCAGGGTTAAAAACAATTATTAAGGAAAAATAAATAGATAACAAAACAGTTTAATAAAAGAGGGAAATAAAATAAAAGCGGTTCAATNATAATCAGTCTTTCATCTCAGAGACTTGCATGTTGTAATGGCCCCTGAGGGCCACCGTAGATTCTACTACATTATTATCAAGTAGAGAGAGCACACTAGTATTCACTTGGTTGTAGTAAACAGCTTCACCACTAGATGTCACTGACTACAAACTGACCCTTTAATAAACACTTTACTTTGAAAGGTGACTCATGTTCACAATAAAAGCTTCTGGCACGACTGACAAATAAAAATATGATTTAATTTAAATCTAAGTTTCCAGTTTAAATCTGAAACTTTTTACTTTGACCTTTAACCTCTGATGAATGAAGACGAGCTCAGGGAGTCAGTGATGAAGAGGAGGAAGTTATCACTGCTGAGGCTGCAGACTGTCAAAATAAGAGTAGTAAATATAATTGTGTTGGCTCAACACAAACATTTTGTTGATTTTCATTTGCTTTTGTTTTATTCTGAAGGTCTGGTGTCTGTCCTGCTTCCTGTCTAAACTCAGATAAAATATATTTAATCATATTTAAGCTGAAATATTAAAACTGTTTAACATTACATTTAAAAATCAACACATTTTAATGTCTGAACATTTAAAACTGAACCAGAGTAAAATTCTGTTAAAACGTTTCTTATGATTGAAAATTGATCTTTGAATTAAAACAATTAGAAACTCAAAGAAACACTTTTGTACAAACACGTTAATCAAATATCAACACATCATCAAAAATCAGAAGGTGATAACATCATCTCTTATTCTTCTGTTTCTCATGTAAACAAATGTACAAACATTAATCACATGTAAACGTCACTTAAATGTGAATAAAACTATAGATTTTTAATAGTCGATGAGAAAATGTATTAAAGCATATCGAGTCATGTTGAGTTTTTATGTGTCTTTATTTTTATATAGTGATGAAACAACTGATTTGACTTTTATTCAAGATTAAATCAATATTATTACGTGTTTGACGCCTCAATAACAATCTGACGAGTTTTTAAAGCTCGTCGATCGTCTTTGTTTAGTTTTTAATTTTTAGAAAAGAAGAAGCTGCAGAGCTGATGGTTTAAAAATAATAAAAAGATTATAAAAAATAATCTGCCATTATGATCTGGTCCTCCCACTGAAACCACGCCCACTGTGATGTCACATCAGGGCCCTGTACTACAAACTGAGTGAATCACGTGATGTGGGACACTGTCTGCACTGACTCTGAGGACACACACTGACTCTGAGGACACAC